CTCGCGCTCCTGTTCGCCGATCTCATGTCGATCGTCGTCGAAACCAGCGTGGAACAGCACGTTCGTTACAGTAGAGGACGACATCGATAACGGTCCGTGGTAGATCCAAGCCACGCACGATTCGAGCGCTCGCTCGTAAACGAACGTCATCGTTCGGTCCCCTCTCCTGACCAGAAAGCGACGGTCGTCGTACAAAAAGCAGAGACCGTCCTCGTCCGGCATACCGTCCACGTCGGCCCTGTTGATGATGATGCGAGAGGAGCCGCCGCCCCCCGAAACGGGCATGGCTAGGAACACGTGCCAGGTGAGTAGACATTTGTACAGGCCAGTCAGGTCGTCTTCGACGTTCGTCTTTAGAGTCACGCCCTTTAGTCCATCGACGTAATCGCAAACGCTCTCGGCGGGCACTTCGCAAGCTTCCATCCATGTTCGGAAGGCGGTCTCGTGTCTCGTCGTCGACGCGTCCCTCACCACCGAGGTCGGATCGACCACCAAACGGAAGAACGAGGCCATCGCGGCCCGTCTATGATCGCGCCTGTCCGGATTGGCCAACATCGACTCCAGCAGATTTCGGGACAACCTTTCCAGGTCCCTGTGGTCGAACGTCTCTCGTTCCTTGTTCGCCAGCTGCCGTCTGAGCTTTCCGAACGAGACGAGCTTCACGACGTGCGCTATGCAACCGAGACTAACGGTCTTTGGAAGGGAGGCGTATCGGACGCACGCTTCTGCGTACCTTATCTCCTTTTCGATTTCCACCCTCAGCTTGTCGGCGGCCGATCTCGCACGCCTGTCGACGCGCCTCGCGATCTCGAACTCGTCCTTCTCGGTGACTTCCGGTCTCGTCGACTGGCGAGAGTCGAGACGCTGAAATACTGGAGGCGCACCGCGGCAGATATCTTCCTCGTCTTCTGTACCTTCGTTCGCGATCGTCGTGACGAGATGGTGGCACTCCTCTTCCGTCTGCTCCTTCTTGCAGACGAAACACCGGTAACCGGCGTTCGGACAACAACCGATGGGCAACGCCGGTACGGTGCCCACGACGACCACGAACCTCCAGAGTGCAGACAGGCGCCTCGATATTACCGTCGAATGCTCGCTCGTCCAAGGGAACAACACGTGTCGCGCGAGCACGACGTCGAAGTCGGTCATGGTGCAGCACTCCGTCGTGACTGAATCCGTCCCTCGCTGAAGGTGCTCCGCTAGAACTAAGCATCTTGCGTAGAAGGGAACGACGTCGTCGTCTGTGCCGCTTCAGCACGCAGCTTCCAACCGTTGTTGCAGATTCACAGACAACTCCTCTAACGAATCGTCTTCGTCGTGGTCGTCCTCCTCTTCCTCCTGTTCACCATCCTCGAATCGCCCTCCTGTCTCGCGCCCACCTCGACCATCTCCTTTGCACGCGCACTTCGAGATTCCTCCACATTTCGAAAGACATTCAGAAAACGGAAGTGACGAGTTCGCGTCTCTCCCGCTCGCGTTCTTCGCAGTTAGGTACCATGTCGGCAAGCAGGATGCTTATGAGAAGCAGGAAGTTATCGGAACTGGTTGCCGGGTCGTCAATGTCGTCGAACATCTTCCACAATCACCGCGCAGGGATCGTGTCCGAGATTGCGATCCAGTATCTTCTCGGCCAAATGGACGAGCGTATCCGTGTCCGTCCACTTTATGCTTTCGGCGTAGTCGTCGAAAAGCACGTAGCGCGCGTCTCCCCTTCCGGCGAACCCGGCGTGGTCGTTGCTCGAAAGGAAGCAGATGGGAACCGTGCACTCGCTCGGTTTCAGCAGCGTCACGCCGGGAATCTTTCCCATGAACGCTATCAACCAAGCTGATGAAACGAACATTCGTCCTCTCCGATCAACCCTCCGTAGGCGGTTGAGCTCGGTCGGTAGTCCACGACGAACGGGATTGGACGGGGTTTTTCGTTCTCTTCGGAGTTGCAACGAGGACGTCTTCCCTAACGTCGTCGTCCACTTCCTCTTCGGATTCGCACGCAGAACTTCCGGAACATGCGTCTTTGACGACGTTGTAGCTGGGACCGACGTTACAGCGACCGGGAGGTTGCCGACGTTGTCGTTGAGACCATTTGCTTCTGCAATCGTTCAGTAATCGGCGCAATCTCCTTACCTCGACACTTCGGCCGTAATTTACTGTTTCTATTTCGTTCGTCAGATAGGATATATGTCGCATTAATTCTTTGTTCATTTGCGCACAATCGGCCGCCTTCATCCTTTCCTTTTCCAACGAACGTTCCACTTCATCGAGGCGTCGTGTGAGAACTTCTCGACATTCCTCGTGCGATCGGCCGTCTTCCGAGTTCTCGACGATTCGAGTCACTTCGGAATACGCCTCCGCCACTTTGTTATTGGCAAAGTTGAGTTGTCTTTTGATCTCGTCCATCTCCATCTTCGTTTTCGTCCGCTTCCTTGTTCTTCGAAAACACCGATTCTTCGAGGACAACCTTTTTCATCGATTCGTCGTACAAATTCGACAGACTTTTTCCGATTCCGATATCCTCTTTTCCATTTCGGTGTTCTCTTTCATCAGTCTATCGCGCGCGTCGATTATCGTTTTAAGTTCTTTACTTATTTCCGAAATCATTCTTTCGTTGGATTCACCCGACTTCTCCCTCTTTTCGTCGTTAAGAAGTCGTTCGAGTTGTCGGATCTCCTGTCGATGTCTTTCCAGCTCCCGCTTCAACGAATCCGTTTCTTTCGAATCCGTTACATTTTTGTCCACGTTCGAAAGTTGGGACTCAAGATTTGCGTGTTCTCTCTCGGACGTCTTCAGCAGGTCGCGAAGCTTGTCGAGATCTGCCGAACGTCGTTCGGCCGTCGCTTGCCACGACCTCTTCTCGGCTTGACACCTTTCAAGGTCCTCCTTCGACCGACGTTCGGAATCGGTCGCGAGCTTCAGTTTCTCCGAGAGGGACGCGCACTCGTCAAGAGCCTCTTCCGCTTCGGCCGATCGCGAAATCTTATCGGATTCCAGTTTAGCTATCCGATCGAGATGCTTCTCTTCCCGTTCCTATAGGGCCGCATGCAACTTACCTGTGTCTCTTCTCAGTCTCGATTCCTTTTCTTTAAGAAAAGATATCTGCGTTCGAAGATTTTCAATCTCGTCCGAGTTGCAAGTTTCGTTTCAGCATCCGATTTCTCCCTCTCGAGATCTTCTCGAAGCGATCCGAGTTCCTTGGCGTGGGATTCGTGAGATTCGTCGCGTGCCTTCTACAATTCTTCGACACATATCTTCCACTGCGGGATCTCTTTTTAGATTTTTTCGTGGTTCGCCTTAAGCCTGATCTCGGTTTCCTTGGCGGCCGCCAGATCGCGTGACGTCCGTCGAAGTTCGTCTTTCGTCTTTTCTAAAAGAACGGAAAGTTCGGAACTCCGGTCGTCCGTGCATTCTTCGCGCGCTCTCGAGAGGTCCGTTTGCAATGCGGCTATCTCGTCTTTAAGAGCGGTCGCCTCGCGTCCCTTGTTAGCGAGCTGCACCCCCAATCCTTTTATCTTCCGTCCGTCCCGTTCCTTCCCTTCTTTGAGGACGGCGATCTCGTCTTCGAGACCGGCCGTCTCTCGAATCTTCTTCGCGATCGTAGCGTCCAACTCTTTCATCTTCTTCGCGTTTCTTTCAATCTCTTCTTTGTAGGCCGTCATTTGATCGTCCGTCTTACTTCCGTTCCGTTTCATTTTCTCTTCCAGGGTGTCGATCTCGTTCCGCAAGTAGATAGCCGTGAGATCTTTATCAGAAAGCTGCTTTTCCATCCTCCTACTCTCCTTTTCGTTATCATCTTTCAGTGCGGTTAATTTCTCGACATCCTTGATCAGCGAAGACTCCTGTCGTGTGGCCTCGGCCAGCTTTTCCTTAAGATCGGCAATCTCCGTCCGGAGAATATCAGTCCTGTCGGAGTGATCGGCCTTGGCCGTTTCCAGATCTAAGATCGCCTTCGCCTTTTCGGACTCGACGGAAGAACGAAACTCGCGAAGGTTCGCTTCGTGATTCTTCTCCGTTACGTCCAACCACTCCTTCAGACTCTCGACCTCCCTCTCGCTCTATTCCAACTTCTTCGCCGACCTTCGTTCCCTGTCTTTGGCAGTCTCCACTTCGCGAGTCGCCAATCGCAGATCCTCTTTGATCTTTTCGAGAATCGCCGAACGTCGGGCGTCGCCGTAGCTGCGTTCCTTGGAAGCCGTTGCAACCTTTTCCCTTTCGGCACGAAGTTCGTCTCTGAGGGAGGCGATCTCCTTGTTCGCGTTGGCAGTCGAGCGACCTTTTTCATCCAACCGTTCCTTCAGACTCTCCACCTGCTTCTCGGTCTCTTCCAGCTTCGTCGCCGACCGTCGTTGGAGGTCCCTGTCTCTTATACACATCTAGGCCGCCGCTTCCCGGTTCGCCAGTCGCAATTCGTCTTTTATCTTCTCGAGCGTCACCGAACTTCGGGCGTCGTCGTCGCTGCGTTCCTTCACGGCTGTCGCCACCTTGTCCTTTTCGGCACGAAGTTTCTCTCTGAGAGTGGCGATTTCCTTCTTCAAGTTGGACGTCGCTCGATCTTTGTCCGAAATCAGTCTGTCTCTGTCGCCGAGTGTCCGTTTTGACGCGCGAAGTTCGTCGTCGATACTTTCGATCCTCCTGGCGTTCGCTTCCACCTCCTCCTTCAGGTTTCTGTTCTCTCGAAGAACCTCCGAATGACGCGTTTGGTCCTTTTTCAGGTCCTCGATCGCACTCTTCAATCGCAGAACCGTCTTCCGTTCCTCCTCCAGATCGGATTGCGCTCGCCGCAACTCCTCCTTCTTTCCGATGCTCACTTCCATTTCGTACAACGACTCTTCGGGTTGCCGTCTTAACAGTTCTCGCTGCAATTCGACGTTCTTGTCGGCCATGGATTGCGCGTGCTCGTCTGCATTTTTCGCGGCCGCCTCCACAATCCGTCTGCTTTTTACTTCCTCGTCGTATCGCTTGCAAGCCGTTTTCAGGTTTTCTTCCAAGACGTCCACTCGCTTTTCGTACATGGACATCGCTGTCTTGGCGAGCGTCGACTCTTTCTTCAGCACGCTGATTTTGTCGTCTTTCTCTTCCAACTCCTCTTCCAAGTCGGCGTGCGATCTCTCTCGGTCTTTCAGTTTGCGGACGGCTTCCTGCAGCTTTTGCTGCAGCTCGAGTCCGCTCTCTTCAGGTGGTGGCTGCTCCGACTTTCTCTTCGCGGCTTTCAGATCCGATTCCAAGCGAACCACGTCCAGATCCCTTTCCTTCAGGGCATCCGTCTTGGAAGCGAGTTCGATCTTTAGACGTTCGACCTCTTCCTCCGCGATGCTGTGAACGTCGGACGATTCTTTCAACGCGGACATCTTCGCCTCGTGTATTTCGTCTTTTAATTTCTGTATGACGACTCTGGCTTCGGTGAGTTTTCGTTCCTTTTCCGCAAGTTTGTCCTGCACCTCGTTCAGCTTCTGGTTGCCCAGTTCCAACGTACGTTCGTTCTCCTTCGCCGATTCTCGACGGTGAGCATCGAGATCTTCCAGCGGGACGGACTTGGGAGTCGCCGGCGTCGAAGACGACGTGGGTCTCGCGTACGCCTCCTGTTAGTCTGGAAATCGTCGACCGTCTTGAGACGGATCCCACTCCAGATCGTCGTTTTCGTTTTCCCGAAGAAATCCAGAAGTGTACTGCTTCCAGTTCGCGTCCACCCACTTAACGTTTGGCGTCAATAGCGAACTTTCCTCGTCCGCGTAAGGTGGAAGATCTCCCGTCGGCGTGGCTGCCCCGTCGTCGCCGGCGTCGTCGTCCTCGTTGGCAGCTTCTCTTTCGATTGTTTCTTCCATGTCGCGATAGTCCTGCGAATTGAAGTCGTACGGGAGATTGGATGGAGGGCCTTCGCGGTCGCCCACTCTCCTTCCAGTTCCCGTCGTTTCCTCAGGTTCAGTGATCACGGGAAGGTCGCCGAGGGCTTCAGAATCCAACACGGATTCCGCATACTGTTGCTCCCGTTGCTGCGGTGCACGCTCCGCGGGTAACGTCGCGACGTCCAACTTAGCGAAGTCGTCGGTGGCGTGACGAAGGCAATTTCTTCTTCGTCGTCGTACCGTTCCAAAGCGTCGAAAAGCTCTTCGGCGGCTCCGGAATCTCCTCGATCGTCGGACGTCGACGGACGCTCGTCTGCACGCGACCGGCTTGAAACCCTCTCTTCTAACTGATGCAGGTTTCAGTAGCTGGCTTCCGAAAGATCGTACCGACATCTCTCTGTCGCTTCCACGCTTTTAGTCGGCGTGTCCAACGCTATCGACGCACCCGTCATACGTGCGGAAGGGAACTTGCAGAGGACGTTCAGCAAGATTGCCGAGACGTTCGCTTCGTAATGACAGCAGTCCTGTCTCGGTGGGTCGTCTCCCGTTGGGGTCCCGAAAGGGGGCAGTTGCGACCGGAATTCCTCCAGTTCGTCAACTACGCTCCTTACGAGATTGTCGTCTCTCAATCTGTCTTTGAGGAAATCCCGTTCTTGCACGTAAGAAACGACGGATCCGAACAGTCGGTCGAAATCCACGCCCAACGCCACCTTCTCCAAACTCGCGAACTCAGACTCTATCACCTCCGCCGTCTTCTTCAGCCACGAGACGCTCGCTCGATCTTCCTTCATTCCGATGCTCAGGTATTGCGCGTGTCCCGCGACAAGGAGATTGTCCTCCCAAACTCGTTCGGCGTTGACTATCTCGGCTTCGATCCTTTCGTCGCTCCATTGTTCGACGATCTCCTTGCTGCTTCCGAAGAGGAGAGTCCACGTGCATGGTCGCAGAGGGAGGTCCTCGGCGGCGAGGTGGTGCACGAAGCGCCCGTACACGAGACAGGTCAAGACGAGATGCAACGCCGGACTCCTAAACTCGATATCGGCCACGTACCGCAACAGCCGGTACGTGGTTTCGATCTCGACGTTCTTCACGAAAAAGCACGCACATACGAGCTTCTCGAAGTCTTCGTCGTCGAGACCGGTATCCTTCTTCAACATCAATTTTGGCGTCGAGTCGTTGTCACGGGAACTCGTGAACAGCTTTCGACAGAACTCCTTCGCAGTCAACCTCGTGTCCGGATAGTATTTGCCGAATTGCATGTACG